ATTCGTTAATTGTTCCTCCACAAAATTCGCTAAGTGGTTGTTTGTTCAGTGGTTTCATTGGATAACCGTTCGGTGGATTAAGTTCTTGTGTGTTCAGAGGATTCATTAAATAGTCATCCAGAAAGAATTCAGTAACTCATCGATGCGTGTTCGTAGACTTCTCGGCACTAACAACGAGAGGTACCCCGGTGTAACGCAGACTTTTCAATTAGGTTTAGCACGGTTATAGAGTTTGGAATTCTGAAGCATATGGCTATAAGTTTATGAAATATTTAATGTTCAGTGCTGAGGAGTCTTCAAAAACTTATCGAGGATTTACTGTAGATTGGTTAATCGTTAAATGGAGTTACTATAAGTGATCATTCAAAGAAATCCTCAAACAATCCCAAGAATTCGTTAAATGTTCAAGAGAAAAAATTCCGTAAATCATCGCCAAAATGGATTTGTTAAATTGTCGTGCAAAGAGTTTGTTAAATGACTGTTCGAAGAATCTGTCAAATGGTCACTAGCAAGAACTCCATAAAGTGTCACCAAGAGGGATTAGTTAATTGTCGTGGAAATGGTTTGTTAAACGGCCATCCAAAGGATTCGTTAAATGATTTCCACTACTGTAGATTGGTTAATCGTTAAATGGAGTTACTGTAAGTGATCATTCAAAGAAATCCTCAAACAATCCCAAGAATTCGTTAAATGTTCCACAGAAAAAATTCCGTAAATCATCGCCAAAATGGATTTGTTAAATTGTCGTGCAAAGAGTTTGTTAAATGACTGTCCGAAGAATCTGTCAAATGGTCACTAGCAAGAACTCCATAAACTGTCACCAAAAGGGATTCGTTAATTGTCGTGGAAATGGTTTGTTAAACAGCCATCCAAAGGATTCGTTAAATGATCTCCAGGTATGATTCGTTAAATGCTCCTTCAATAGATTCGTTAGTCGTACAATGGATTATTTAGGTGATCATCCAATGGATTCACCAGAAAGGATTCCGTAAATCATCGCCAAAATGGATTCGTTAAATAGTCGTGCAAACGGTACATTAAATGGCCGTCCAAAGGGTTCGTTAAATGCTCACCAAGAAAGAGTCGTTAAATGGTCCGTCCAAAAGATTCGTTAAATAGTCGTACAAAGGGGATTCATTAGACTTCTTAAACTCACCTCCACCTCCATTCCCTTCCCACTCATCAAAATTCTCCATCAACCCTCCAAATGGTTTCGTTAAGTGCTCATCGAACTGACTCCACTCGAATATCCCAAACATTGGATCCTTCCGTCGAACGTGTTCAATAAATCCCAGTGCTTTTTATTTTCCATTCTGTGAACTGTCGAGAGGTAAAGCAGAGCAACGGGGTCGTGAACATCGTAGAAGGGCTCAGGTAGAATTGACCAATCGATGGCGACATAGGGTTGGCAAAGACGGATTCGACCTTCACGCGTGGCCGGAGTCACGTTCGCTCGAGCGGTTCGCATGCACGTACCTGTCGGAGCTGCCAATTATTCTGGTTATTCCGGTGTACACGTCGTATCTCACGCTCTCACTTTTTCCTGTCCGTTATCCGTCCGAGTGGATTCGAAAGATGCAGTCCTGCGCTTCTCCCAATCAAGCCCGATTTAAGACTTTTGATGCTCGGGCTATGAAACCTTCGAGGGCCCCCTTGGTTGAGAAGTGAGGCAGGGGGAGGGGCCAAATAATTTTTGTAATAAAACATGTAATAAAGTTCATAAATCCTCAAAACTTGAAATTTAGTCTAAATAAAATTAAATAACATTTAATTATAACGAACGCTTTAGAAAGCAGTAATGACGCTCGATAGATGTATTCCATAAATTTTCAATACACAGAATCAACTTTGTACACGACATTCGTTAACTGTTCCTCCAGAAAATTCGTTAAGTGCTTGTTTGTTCAGTGGTTTCACTATATCGCGTTCTTGAAACATACAATAAAAGTACATAAATCCTCAATACTTGAAATTTATTCTAAATAAAATTAAATCATAACGAACGCTTGATTATAACGAACAATGCTGCGTTATTTTGTAATAACATATGTTCCGATTTATTTCTACATTCAGTGTGGTCTCTAATTATTTCAAAAGGGAAACAGTAAACAAAATTTCATTGAATTATTCTCTTTTTACATAAATGGAATGCTTAGATTGGGACCCCCGTGTAAAATGGGGCCCACGGCTGCAACCCCCTTTGATCCGGCGCTGCTCCTCAGTTATCCGTTTGCGGGGCTGTCCGGTTACGTAAAAGGAGATTTCGCAAATCTCGTCTCGACGGCCTGACGGAACGAGAACGCATGCTATTCGTCCCCCCGCGATCTATCGTCACCTATAGTTTGCGATACCGATGCGCATCGCGAATTTACAAACAGTCCATTTTAACGTGACGACCGACAGTCGAGAGCTAATTTTTATCGGCGCGGCGGAAGTGCGACGCCCACACACGCGTATACACGAATTGTGTGCGGAAATTAAAAGTGGGTACAGCCTGTGTGTACATTCCTTCAGGACCAGGAACTGTTTTGATAGTTACGCCAACGAACCACACGACGCAGTGATCGCGTAATTTTTTTCGGTGACGATCGAGCGCCGCCGTTTTCAATCAGTACTGCGTCTTTTCATGAGGTAAAGATGACCGACTGTAGTCTTTTAGATTCTGGTGTTGCAAACAGCGTGAATTTAAAAATTCGAAAAATTGATTCGTTTCGATTTTTATGATCGATCTCATACCATAGACGAGGTATAGGTGTAGACATTCATCCAATGTATTTTTGCGGCCTACTTTTGTGGGGTTATGTTGCCCTATTTCCATTTTAGTATCACTACCCGCCTAGGTGTACCGTTCTCGTAACGTAGAGGTCGCTAAAATCACTAGCTTTTTAAGGTGTCCGTACTACAGTTTAGGTTGGCCACCAACTCCCATAAGATGAGAGGTCTATTCTTATACCTCGTCGGTGCTCATATCTAGATCCCATGTACCTTAGTTCGTGTCGAAAATCTTCATGAGATACAATGATATTTGGGATCCTAACACGTTTAGGTAGGTTTAGTGCACTGTTCTCAATAGCGTCGCCATAGAACATCTACAGAGTTCTTAATAACAAAATACTCTTAATTACCGACAACACCTCTTGACAACTGACATCTGGTTTTGTCGCCAATGATAATTATTCTTATTCAAATGTGTGCTGTTCTTATATGAGCGTTCAAAATATGATACAGCAAAAACCACGAATTCAGTGTCAGTTACTCAATTATCCAACATGGCGGCGAACGTGTGTCACGTGACCCTTCGTGGTCTCTAGAATTCGAACCGAAAAATGTATTTCGAGTCTTCTGCTTTCTTTCCACAAGAATTGCAAGCGAGAACGTTAATCGACTGATATCTCCTGATTGAGATAATTTTTCATGAAAACGTTCACACGGTTTCTAGGTATGTTGACCTAGACATTTCTATTTACGAACATTCCAGGATCCCTCAAAGCAGACGCATAAAATGACGGAAGCGCCGTTCTCGTTCGGGACACGCGCTTTCGGAACTGTCTGTTTCGTTTGGCATCGACGGCAAAACCAGGCCCGTTGCCAAAAGCAAAGAAAATTCGTCTTTGTTCGACGCTCTATGCGTTGAGATTATTCGAATATCCCAACGGAACGGATCACGCGCCGCTGGCGCCACCGATAAATTTAAAAGTCGCTTGGCGCGGACTGCTCGTCGTCGACGCGTTTTTGCTCCCCCTTTCGATCACCGTTTCTCACCCGGTGTTCGACGAGCTTCGAGTGATTGAATCGACGATCATCGAGTTAAATCGATTCTTTTTCTTTTTATCAACTTTGATTACCCATCGAATTCTCGCACGTACGACGGATGAATATTCATCGGATGGAAATCACCGTTAAATGGTGCAAGTAGTAACCTAGTAGTGGACACAGTGTCGCCAGATATCCTTGAAAGTTGATGCAAAGTTCACGGTCCTGGTTATTGTGATTGTCCAGTCTGGAATAATTTGTATAACAGTGCATTAACTTCCTTGTTTATCAATGTGAAACATTATTGTCTTGCATATCTTTGAGTATACATTAGTTTTTTTCAGTTTTGTATAGATAGTCTGGTACGTATCTTAATATATGGGATAGACTATGAAGAGTTACCAGTTTGAATACGAAGTTTGTCGTATTTGTACAAAGTATTTGAATTTATATGAAACATTTTTCAAATGAACGTTATCTAGTGTGAACGAGGCCATCGTGTGGTCGTAACGGTTTCCTTACAGTTCTTTACTTCCATTGATTCGGAAACATTTAACACCCTGTATATTTACGAATTCTCAAATAGGATATTATTATTTTTTATTTGCTAAATAAGAGGTTACAGAGCTGTAGGTTCCTCGCATTATTTCGAAGTGAGCAGGAAAAAGAATTCAAATTTTTGAACAGTCGAATTCAGTATAGCTCCTTTAATCGATTATACTCGACATCGAGATATCGACTAATGTCAGTATGACAGCGCAAGTCCGCAGGTATTTGCGTGGTCGGGCGGAATCTTTCTCTGAGAAACGTTTTTCCTACGTGCTGTATTCGTAATGCATTATCGCGGAAACGTACAGACGCAACCATTCGAAATTTTTCAGGTAAAGAATATTGTTTATTGTGACAGACAAACACTACTCACGGAAATTGGCGGAGGATCACATTTGGCACGTGCGGTGAAGTCACAACAGCTCGCAATTGTTCTTCCCCTGTTGCAAACAACACGAAAATATCAGAGGATATCTCGAAATAAATACTTCGCTACACTCATAAATTTCTCGTTTATATTTCTGTGTGTAAATAGTTTGTGTCACGTGTTTCATGGTGACTGACTTAACCTTTCTTTCTGCCAGAAACAAAAAGAACTATCATTCCATGAGAAGGATGATCTATAAAAGTATAAATTACTAAATCATCGAAGCTCGAAATATATATTTTAAAATTGTGTTTCTGTTTTTGTGTTACAGTTTCCTGGTGAGTGCATCCTCACATACATGGAGTTTCAGCTGGATAGCGCAGAATACTGCCAGGCTCAACACAAATAGAGAGACACGCCCAACCACCCTAGAACCTGCTAGGTATTATTAAAGAGAAAGCAAGGAGGAATTATCATAATCTGGCAAAAAAAATATTCAATAATATCAGGATCATTGCCTCGAAGTCGGAAAATCATCAGCTAGTCATCTCGCAAGGCGTAGAGGAATTAAATAGAAGTCAACTTTTAATTTACATTACTAAATGCAAGAATCGTAGTTACTGAGCGCACCTGATCCAGGCGCACCCAGTGCCAAATAGGTAAATATTAATGCTGGAGAGTTACTGAGAATCATTTAGATAGGACCGATTAAAAACTTCAATGAAACCTTCTTGCAGATAATCTTCCGAATCATAGTCAAGGATCCCAAGTGGGAATCGATCGCATATCAACAACGCCTAATGTAACGTAGTCCTCACCTTTTCGGCGAAATTCGCACCCCAAAAACCCTTCTCGAAGTCTACATGTGAGCCCACTGTTCTGTCCTCTGTAAAAAAATAACAAAGTATTCAATTAATTAAATGAAAAACAACTCAATAAGACTGACATCTATGGGCTAAGTTGTCAAATCCAATCTTTGTTGCTTCGTATAGTGTGGCATATTAAAAAAGAAAATAAAAAGAAACATTGTCGTACAAAATCGTTAAACAAAAAAAAAAAGAGTTCGAACAATACAAGAAGTAGGAGTATACCAGCTGTTGTCCAAGAGGAAATGAGCAACATGAGGGTCAAGGACATCAGGCCGGCGCCCGCCGAAATCGAATACAAAAACATGAAATTCCTCATCACTGATCGGCCCAATGATCAGACCATTCATACTTTTATCCAAGTACATTTCCTTGCTATTCATATCTTACCGAATGTCCAGTGAATCCTACACACTGATGTTAACAAGTCTGCTGCTTTGTTAGGAACTGAAGAAGCACAATGTGAAAGAAGTAGTGAGAGTCTGTGAACCAACATACAAGGTCGAGGAACTCAAAGCAGAAGGGATTAATGTCATAGATTTAGTATTTGATGATGGCACATTTCCACCGAATGAAGTAAATACAGATATTTTTACTTTCAACATCACGGTTGGGATCACTGAACTTATTATTATACAAAGTGAACTTAATTTCAGGTTGTCGACGAATGGTTTGAACTGCTGAAAAATCGATTCCGCGAGTCCCCTGATGCGTGTGTGGCCGTACACTGCGTTGCAGGACTTGGCAGAGCACCAGTGCTGGTTGCGCTTGCTCTGATTGAATTGGGACTAAAATATGAAGATGCAGTCGCGTTAATCAGAGAGTGAGTGGCAAATTTATTGGTTTACAAATATGTCCTGTTACGTCTCTGAACGAGAAATATAAAATCGATATTTGATTGTTTAGAAAAAGACGAGGCGCCATCAACGCAAAGCAGCTGGCCTACCTTGAGAAATATCGTCCCAAGTCTCGGTTGAAGCTCAAAAATGGACAAAAGAACTCCTGCTGCGTCCAATAGATTAAACGATTTCTTTGAAAAGTTACTAATTCATACTGATTGGTATACCTAATTGTATAAGTTTTCATGCCTGGTAAAACAAGAGACATACTGTACCGACTCTGTTCTGAAAAGGCCTATCAATGGAAATGCAACTAAACTATTTACTAAAGAATTTTCAAGTCACATTTTGCACTGTCGAATTCATTGTCAGGAAGCAAACAATTGAAAAGCGAAACTGCTTAGAATGATTTTTCACTTTTCTTTTATGAAAATTTTTGTATTTATTTTTGATACTAAATTAAGGTTAAATGCTATAGAACAGGGAATATCCTCTCACGCTTGGTAAGGTTAGTAATGAATTTAAATGGATCTGATTACCTGTATAATTAAAACTGGATCAACTTATGCATTGTACAGCATATTCGGTGCCTTATTTAAGGCTATTGCGTACAACAATTACGAAAGGCTGCATTTATTTGGTCCAATAAAATAAATATATGCAATATGTTACCAATCAATTTATGAATATTAGCTGATGCATTATTTATACAAAATATTTTTGGAATTGAGAAAACACTTCGATTCTCATCGATTCTTGTAATGTACCTTTGGTACTATTGTATCCAGCTGTCGTGAAACGTAGCTTTTTAGACAAATGAGTGCAATAAAAACTTACGTTTTGTCCAGAACGGTTGAATACAGGAAATGTATAAGTGTCTTATCGAGAACATTTTTTTAAACCTCAAGATATGAAAGACAAGATCTGTACATGAACTTTTTTTTTTACAAAAAATGATATATTGAAACATTTATTGAATGGACATGTATCATATATAACACTCAGCAAAGTGTGGTTCGTACATCAATAATATATTAATTTTATTCGGAAAAATGTGATTCAAATAACAATATATTCACATTAATTTGTATATGTAATTCAGTCCGATTGATTAAACTGGTGTGCAAATGAATAATGCATATATTCTCCGAATATTGTTCTTCGTTGTTTATAATTAGCGCGAATCAACGTTTAACCTAAATATGTCCGTAACAACTAGCATCGAGTACAGCACATATTTTGGGACACTTATTAGGATTGTAATTGAGAACATCAACTTTGTATAAAAAAAAAGTAAAAGAAAAATTGACATATATATTACGAGGGCGTTCGAACGAACGAATCATTGACTGCTAATGTTTTAAACGATTAACATAAAACGAGAAACATAGCGTTGCATTTCCAGTGGCATGCCGAATTCGATGGATATTCTTAACACTTATTGGACTTGGAATCTGCGTTAACTACAGTAACAAATATTGCGAAGCAAAATTAAGTAATTATCACTCCAGAATTATATATCACTTTTATCGTAGCTTAACGGCAATTTCACCAAAATGTTTTAGATACATCCACTTTTATTCTGATAAATTTTAGAAGCTGCATACGCGTTTTGTGTGAAGCGTCTCGCGATTGTATTCCTTGCGATTTTGGTAAAATTGTCGGTGATGCTGTACGCCACACTAAACTGTGTTCAAAAGATAGAAGACGAAGAAAAGAAGAAGAAAAGAAGAAGAAAAAAGAGAATTCGCTCCTAAAGTAATGAATGTAATACTTAGATCATTTCATATGTCTGCCGATTTGACGTGAATGTACGTTTTCGCGTGTATATTATCATAAATACGTGAACTGTGTTTACTCGTTTCTCGTGCTTATAGCTGAGGATTTTGCGTACAAGAGTGATGTGAATTTGCCATAGACCGACGTTCGCGTTGTTTTCTTCTTTTCCACGATTAGTACGTAAGGATTCGAAATGACAATTTTTCTACGGAACTTGACGAACGAGTTGTTTTTACTTAACGCCATGATATCACGATGCCAATGACACGATCGTGTTGTCGTCCATTTTCGTGCATAATTTCTTAAGTACCAACCGAGTACATTCACCGTGATCGCCGCAGACTCGAAATGAGATTCTAATCTGGTACAGCTCCTTTTTTGTAATGTTGAAGAAAAAAAAAACTGCAATATTTTTTACCAGAGGATGGAACGAGGGACATTCGTAAAAAAGAGAAAAATTATCGAGCCTTAGATCCGAAATTGAATAACTTTCTACCCGTTCGATTCTTTCTTTTCTCCCCTTAGTTCAATTACTGTTACATAACGGTTGTCGCGAACGGTAACGTAGTTTTTTTCATTCTTTTCCCCCTAATACAGTCTGTTTACTTCTAAAGTAAGATATCGAGATACTTTAATTAGGTGTACCTGTAGCACTCATCGGAAAAGAAAAGTTACCAACGAATCTATATATATATTTTTTTTTCTTTTTGCAACCACTCGAAATTTAATTTTTGCACGCATCGATTCACTTCTTCAAGCAAAGTATACTTCACTACCGGAAGTAATTATGTGTTCGAGTGAACATTTTTTATCTGTGATACATTTTTCGCGAAAATAAAAGTCGACAAATTTGTAGGGAATGAAAACGATTGGGTTTAACCGAAACCCCTGTGAAATGATATTTTAAATCCATTCGAGGTTCACTGATCGTAGCCCACGTATTTGAATTTGAAACTTAACGGGCATTCTAGTAGATCTTACTTGAAATTATACGTAGAAACGTGTTTTGACTGAATATATTTAATATTGCATACAAGGATTCCTCGTGTAATTGGGACGAGTTATATCTCGAATTTGGCAAGAGATCGAAAAAGAAGCTCTAGACAGAAAAGTTAAATGGTATGGTAATGTCTATATTTCTACGATTTCACTTTCTTCATAAGTGTAACGATGCACCCAAGAAATGCACATGCACTTTTTTTTTTAATGGAATTGCATATTTTTTTTTTACTCGTATCAATTCTTCGGAATATTCTACGTGAAAAAGTATTAGGGTGAAACGTTGCATTTACGAAGAAAGTGAAGCCTTAGAAAAATAGACACTATCGTGTCATTCAACGTTTCCTTTAACAACTTCTTTTCTCTATCTCTTACCAAGTTTGAAATATAACCCATTCCAGTTGCATTACTCATCCTGTATACTCGCAAGGTATTAAAGGAGAAAATCTTTATTCTCGAAGAATTGAATCGAAACACCATGAAATTTTATTTTATTATTCACAGAAAAGCAATTACGATCCATGGAAACACAATGTATGAAATAATAGGTTTAATTGCCATTCTTTTATAATGGTAATTGCGAACATCGTTTTCGTACGATATTTTGTACTTTTACGTTTAAAGAGAAAGAAGTTATCAACTCATATGAATACTGCGAACAGGAACAACTTAGGTAGCAAAGAAATCTTCTATTTTGAACCGACGTAATAAAAGAAAAAAAAGAAAAATAATAAAGAGGAAAAACAGTCTCCTTTCAAATCGAATTAAGCAAAAAAAAAAAGAGAGAAAGAAATTTAACGTGTTAGAGCAATTGAAACAAGATTTATGATTAATTGTATATTTAATTTGTTAATGTAATTTCCTACCTATCACTGTATCAATAACATATTGAGTAAATTATAAATGAAAGAATTTTGTTATATTGTAAAACGTCAGTAATGAAATAAAAGAATGGAAGTCGTTTTGTGAAGAAGCAATGTCCACCGACACTTCTTATACGTATATATCTGATGTGTTGCCGGAATAAAAAGATTTCTACACAAATTAATCCATCTTTTACAAACGATAGAAATCATTTATTTAAGTAGTTCTTTTTAAAAATTATACGATCAGTAGTTACATCATCTATTAATTATATTTCTTCGCATATTTTATTGTTTTTTACATAAACATGTCATCGTATCCTGGAGGGGGTAAGTGATCGTTGTCTGGTCCACGTTCCGGTCTTCCTGGTGCGTTGTCTGGCGGTCCGAAAGGATCAAATCTAGCGTGGGGTGGAACCGCGCCCCTAAAATATGGTGATATCACGTGACTTTAATGAAAACTGTAATTAAACATTACAAAATTGTTCCAATCAATCCATTCGTAACCGCGGCATTTCTGTAGTGTTACTACAAGGTTAACTTACGGTGGCAATCTTCCTGGTACTCCTAAGCCAGGTCGATGCGGATTGACAGGGTTGCGTAGAGGCGGGAACGGATCGTAGATCATACCGCCACCACCGCCGCGAGCAAAAGGATCTAGATCCGCGCGTCCTACGTTTGCTGGATCAACTAAGGGATCCCTTTAACAATGTTAAATAATAGTATATTAGACATTGCAATTGATTATTGATCAAAGACTTCGTGGAATAGTATCGTGTAAATGTAATGATTTTGTTGGATATGTCACAGAGAAAATCGGAACATGTACACCAATTGAATCTTCAGGATTAACTGTACTTGCTACATATGAAGATTTTAATTCTATTCGTTTGGAAAACTAGAAAGGACTCGTCTGTGTTTGAAAATAGCTGTCAGAGGTTCAAAAAAGGCCATACATATCTTCCAAATTTATATCATCATTATTGTTCGAACTCTGTAAAGATGTTGTCATATTATTCATAGATTTGACGCGAACAAGTATTACCATGGTTGCGATGGCAAGCTACGTGCTGGCTGTCCTACCCTTAATGGATCAGTCCTAATTGGCGCACTATGGTCTCTGCTTTCTGTTGATGTTTGAGTGGAAGTCTCAGCAGTGTTACCAGAAAACACTGGATTGAGAAGATCAGTCTGGACTATTTGTAGAACAGTTTGATACGTGGGCATTACAGTTTCTAATGATCCATGAAGACTAGTCACAGTCTGATTAATTGGAAATTCAATGTTGGTTACATTTTGGTTATCAGTTCTCTGTAAAATAAACATTTGCGATTACATTCTACATGCTTTTCTCGTATAACACATAATTTTGTATCTGACAATTTTACATTACCAGTAAATTTAAAAGCAAATCTTCATCGGATTTGATGCCATGAAGTATGTATAATTTTTCATCTTTTACGTAACGTAACGCGTAATTAGGATGCGTGTTCCATCCCTCTGGAAGTAGTTCTGATCCCTTTTCAGATGCATTGTATGCTTTCTAAAAGAAACAACATTTTTTGTAACAGCACTGAAATATACGTTCCAAGTTTCTATAAATTTATTTAATATCGTGCAATTAAAGTACCGTATACTGACAATACGTAGTTACGTTAAAATTATGAAATTATAAGATGATCTACGCTGATTGACGTTTGAAAACCATTACGCAACTTTTCCAGGTTAGGTGTTACAACATTTGTAACAAAAAAAACATTTTTCTATTATGTTTTAAACGCATGAACAAACTGCGCAAATAATTGTGCCGGTATTGCATGATAGGACGTAATAACATTTTTTGATTACTTACCGAATCACCAAAGCCAACACACCTGAATGAATTCTTTATAAGATACCAGTGAACAAACAAAATTAAAACGTCCTCCTTCTTCGTTACTTGGTTGTCGTATAACGATTGCAAAATTTCAAAACCAAACATAACGTTGGCATCACCCATTTTTAACAAGGAATGACAGACGTGTTTTGATGTTTTCTAGTTCAAGCCAGTGGCGTCTGCGTTCATTCGGTGGTTCAGGTTCAGATTCCGGAAGCGGATATAATGTTGCGGTTGTTTGAATTACATGTTATAAATATATTTTTCAAATGTTAAGCTTCATTTTTGTTAATTTGTGAAAAGTCCTTTTTGGGAAATATTCCATATTTAAGCCATGGTTATTTTACCGGATATCATTTTTCGTCTGCTTATAATAACAGAAAACAAACGAAATCGTAATATCCGCTATTTTAATATTAAAACAATTGATACAATAACAGGGTCACGAAATATATTGTTAAAATACAGAAATTTGTGAAATTATTTATTACCATTTTAAACATTATACAAAGTTAAAATTATGTTCATTTTGAAATTTTGACAACCGATTTTATTAAGTACTTATATGAACATGAATCCAAAAATATACAATACACTCATGTACTGTAAAATGCTTGTTTCTTATGTACACATTAAATTAAATATTCTATTAACAGCTATGTCTCATTTGTGTGGAACATTATACAAAATGAATTTAGTAATTAGAATCGGAATCGGTATCTTCTTCAAACACATTAGATGTTTTGAGTGCTGATGAGCTACCCAAAATTTCTTCTTCACTTTCTGATTCAGCTTTGTCTTTGCTGTCTAATGCGTAACGCCTCCAGGGAAACCTGTAAGAGAAAGTAAGTTCGAAATTAAGTTCTCCTAAATTATCAACATAAATGTAAAAACTATATTATTCCACCTTTTCTTCTCATTAAAACAGTCTTCAATGAAAGTATGTGAAACAATTTTGGAATGACCCTTTAATTGCTGATACTTTGGTGTATTCTTGAAGGCACATATCAGATGAGTACACTTTTTGTTAGTTGTATTGGGGTCAGCAATGTACTTGGCACCCATTTGGAGAGCTTTCCTCCTTATTTCATCTCTTTGCGGATTAACATACCCACTCAGGGAAAATGTAATATCTTCGAAAAGTTTTGAAAATAATTTTGTTGGTTTTTGTGCCTCAATATTCCTCTTCTTTGTAGCTCTTTCTGGTCTTGGGCTTGGCCTAGGCTGTGGTAGTTTTCCACAATTTTGGCATATTTTGTCTTCCTCATCTCGACAGTCAGGGCAGCTTTGTTTCTTCTTGTTTATGTTCTCCTTCGATGAACTTTCTTCAGGGCTCAACGAACGTTTTCTTCTATTTGTACTGTGTCTTTGATTTTCTTCTTTTGCATCCTTCTTAGCTGTCTTTGGTGAAGGTGCAGATACAATATCACCAAATGGAGTTCGTGCTACTGGTTTATCATTCAAGTCTGTAACTTTTGCATCTTTAGCTTTAGAACCATTTACCGATGGTGAATTAGTAGGATCTTGTGTCTTAGTTCCAAATACTTCATCAGCTTTTCCAGCTTCTAATTTCTCCAATAACGGCCTTTTCATTGGTTCTTTATTTTCTTCCTGTCGTTTAGAAAAATTATTCATACCGGTCTCTTTGATTTTTGAGAACAAGTTAGCTTTGTAATCTGGTTTTTTACTATTGATCATCTTCAGATATTTTTCTTTAAAATCATCTACGGAAGAATTATTCTTGTCCTCTTCAGGGTGTTTCATCTTAAATCTTCCAAAAATATCTAATCCCAAATCGACAACAACTTCTGTTTTAAAAACGATAAAAGACAATCCAAATAATTCTTTCAAATTTGCAGACTGCATACAGGTTACTTTAACACGGTCAAACTTTATTTTTATTGTCTCAGGATTCAAGTCCTTTTTTGTAAATATTTCTACTTGATCTCTGAACTTGCCATTCGCAGCCTCATCGTGTGTTAGAAATTGGTGATTTACAATAGGAAGCCAGTTGTCAGGCTCTGCTGATGTGGAAGCACTAACTACCACAACGCAACTACGATAATTACCAATATCCAAGCCTGTGATACAAGATGGTTCAGCCAATTGAAAAATAACTGTGGCAAGCATTTCTCCTGGTTTCGCACATCTCCATGAAGTGTTTGAGCGATGCTGAAGAAGATTAGTTGCAGGATTGGATGCATGTTCCGAAGAACAGCTTATTACTTTAGCAAGTTTAATAATCATTGTTTTTAATTATATTTACTGACGTCATTTACGCGCACCAACAAAAATTTATAATAACAGAACCCAGAAAATTGAACAAACATGTCATTGCATTTTATTGAAATTAATATTTTGACAAGAAATTAATTCAACATACCACCAAATCTGTCAATGAAACGTCAACGTTCAAAGTCATAACCTGTTTCTCTACTCCAAACAACTGTTTAATTACACTGATTTTTAATTACACAATTAAATGTCTGACTTTTATTCTTCTGTAAATAATTCGGAAGCATTTTTTGCAATATACAGTAGCTGTATTTGGTATATGTTATGCAATTCAGTTTCTTTGATGTATCAATATGCTCAGATAAAAATGCCCGCGAAATTACGTGTGTAACTCTCCTTCATTAAATTTAATTAAATTGGACAAACCAGATAATTCTGTACGTCTAACCAATATTTAGGCCAATTTTAATTGATATTGTGCACATGCTATAGTAATTTGTATATTGTTTACTAATTATTTAAATAAAAAACATTAAAAATAAGTCGATAATTAAAGTTGTACGAAGTGTGCAATAAGTAATGTACTATTATAATGTATGTATAAATAGTGCTTAAACCAGTGATGGACAACTCAGCGCCCGCCAAACTCACTAGCGGGCAACCCATGCAGCATGCGGGCATATAGCAGTTGGCAGTGGTGGGTGAAATGTGTAAATGAGAGCATGTATCTATCATTTTCTTCACACACAAATATGTCTTCTGAAACACAGATTTTTATTACACCACAAACATCGCATAAAAGATATTTCATTATATTGACATTTGTAATAATTGTGGATGTTGCAAGGAAATCAATATTATTGACATTATGGAACAT